TCTCCTTTTCTCTCTCCCTCAAACTCTTTCAAATAAATAAATTAAAAAAAAAAAAAACTACAGCAGAAATAAATGGAAAGATATATGTCAATGGATTGGAAGAATTAATATTGTTAAAATGTTCATACTCATATTACCCCAAGCAACCTATAGATTCAATGCAAAGCCTATCAAAACTTCAATAGCTTTTTCACAGAAATAGCAGACAATCCGAAAATTCACACATAGTCACAAAAGACTCCAAAGAGCCAGAGAAATTTTGAGAAAGAAGAGCAAAGCAGGAATCATCATGATCTCAAACTAGACTACAAAGCTATAATAATCAAAGCAGTATAGCACTGGCATAAAATCAGGTCCATGAGACACTGGAAAGAGACAGAGAGCTCAGGAACAAATCCACGCTCACTCAGTCAGCTGCTCTCTGACAAGGTTGCGGAGCATACACAGGCAGAAAGCACAATGTCTTCAATAAAAGGTGCTGGGGAAATAGGACATCCACATGTAAAAGAATAAAATTGGCTGCTTACTTTCATATCATACACACAAATCAACTCAAAATGCTTAAAGACTTGAATGTAAGAAGGGCAATTGAGAAGTTCCTGGGAGAAAGCGTGGGGAGAAAGCGCCTCGGCTTTGTTCCAGGCAATGAACCCAAGAGCAGAGGCAGCGAAGGTGAACATCTGGGGACTGCATCAAACTAAAGGCAGCAACAAAATGACAAAGCAACCTACAGAATGTGAGAAAATATTTGCAACCATGTGTCTGATGTGTGGATATACAAAACAGACAAGGAATGCATGCAACATTCATGAATGGAATTCAAAAAGAAAAACAAGGGGGCCAGCACTGTGGTATAGCTGGTAAAGCCGCCGCCTGTACTGCCGGCTCCCATATGGGCACCAGTTCGAGCCCTGGCTGCTCCACTTCTGATCCAGCTCTCTGCTGTGGCCTGGGAAAGCAGTAGAAGATGGCCCAAGTCCTGGCCCCTGCACCTGCATGGGAGACCTGGAAGAAGCTCCTGGCTTCAGATCGGCACAGCTTCAGCTGTTGTGGCCATTTGGGGAGTGAACCAGTGGATGGAAGATTCTCTCTCTCTCTCTAACTCTGCTTTTCCAAAAAAAAAAAAAAAAAAAAAAAAGAAGAAGAAGAAGAATAAGGCCTACTCCCAGAGTGGCCTCCTTAAAGGCGAATCCCATGACTGAAAAGAAAAAAAAGGGCAAAACAAAACCTAAAAACACTTGACAAAAATTGGACATAGGACCTGAATAAACATTTCACCAAAGAAGATATACAAGTGGTCAACAGGTATATTGAAAGGTACTCAACATCACTACTCATCAAGGAAATGCAAATCAAAACCATAATGAAGTATCATCTCATACCTGCTTAGAAGGCTATTACTAAAAAGACAGCAAGTGTTAGCAAGGCTGTGGACTAAAGGGAACCCTTATACACTGTTTTGTGGGAATGTAAACTGGTAAGTCATTATGGAAAACACTAGGAAAACGCCTCAAAACACAGAAATGCCATATTACCAGCAATCCCACTCCTGTGTATGTATCTAAAGGAAAAGAAATTAGTGTCTTACAGAGATAGCTGTACTGCCATGCTCATGGGAGCATTGTCCAGCTTAACCAAGACACAGAAACAATCTACTTGTCCATGGCTGGATAAATGGATAAAGAAAACGTACCGGGTTCTGTCCCGGTTGCCCCTCTTCCAGTCCAGCTCTCTGCTGTGGCCCGGGAGTGCAGTGGAGGATGGCCCAAGTGCTTGGGCCCTGCACCCCATGGGAGACCAGGATAAGTACCTGGCTCCTGGCTTCGGATCAGCGCGGTGCGCTGGCCGTGGCAGTCATTTGGGGGGTGAACCAACGGAAGGAAGACCTTTCTCTCTCTCTCTCTCTCTCACTAACTCTGCCTATCAAAAAAATAATAATAATAATAAAGAAAAAAAAAAGAAAATGTGGTCCATTTACACAGCTGAACACTATTCAGGCTTACAAAGAAGGGAATCCTGTCATTTACAACATGGGTAGATCTGGAGGACATTACGGGAAGTGAAATAAGCCAGACAGAGACAAATACTCCATGATCCGAAGATGAACTCACAGAGGCAGACAGTAATGGTGGTTCCCATAGGGGTGGTTCCCATAGGGGTGGCTACCATAGGGGCGGGGTAACTTGGAGGTGATGGTTAAAGGATAGATTCAGTTATGGAGAATGAGTAGGTTCTGGTCATCCATATGCGTTAAGACTGTAATTAATTATAGTGTTTGCTAAAGGGTGGATCTTATGTTACATTTTTTTAAAGATTTATTTTTTAAAGATGTATTTATTTGAAAGGCAGAGCATGAGAGAGAAGACAGAATGAGAAAGGAGGAAGGGAGAAAAAGAGAGAGAAAGAGAGAGAGAAAGAGAGAGAGAAATATCTTCATCTGTTTGTTCACTCTCCAAATGTCAATAGCCTGGCAGAAGCCAGGAGCCAGGAGTCCCATCCAAGTCTCCCACATGCATGGCAGAGGCCCAAGGATTTGGACCATCTTCTGCTGCTCTCCCAGGGACATTAGCAGGGACTTGAACCAGAGACATGGGGGATGTGGCATTGCAGGTGGTGGCTTAACCTGCTATGCCACAGCACTGGTCCTTAAGCGTTCTTAACACCCCGCCCCCATAGTAATAAAGGCGTCAGGAAACTTTGTGGAGGTGATGGGTATGTTTACGGTCTTGATAATGATGGTGTCACTGGGGTCTATCCTCCACCTCTTATACGTCAATCACACTTCAATAACTTTTTTTTTTTTTTTTTTTTTAAGAACGGCAGTGCTGGAGCTGCGTTGTGGTGCAGTGGGTAAAGCCATTGCCTGAGATGTTGGCATCCCATGTGGGCACTGGTTCACATCCCAGCTGCTCGACTTCTGATCCAGCTCCCTGCTAAGCGGAAGTGGCCCAAGTTTTGGGCCCCTGCTACCCATGTGGGAGACCTGGAAGAAACTCCTGGTTCCTGGTTCCTGGCTCCAGCCTGGCCCAGCCCTGGCCATTGCAGCCATCTGGGAAATGAACAAGCAGACGGAAGATCTCTGTCTCTCCTCATCTCTCTGTTATTCTGCCTTTCAAACAAATAAATGAAATCTTTAAAAACAAACAAACCCTGCAATGCTAGACTATAACCTATTGCATATAATAGAAATCCACGAATCCATACTGATAAATGGGAACACAAAATGCTCATTTTTATTGTAGAATGCTAACTACCAAATGCAGAAGGAATGGTGGAGCTAGAAATCACTTCCCAGCCACCACCGAAATTAATTCAAGCACAAATCATCAAAGGGATGTTAAAACTGGAAGGGTCAAAGTGTGGCTTGCCAAGCTAGGAATTCCCTGTTGTAGAGGCGGCCAGTAGCCAGGTGAGGACCAAACACAGTCCCAGACAGAGCCCGCCCCCCGGACCATGGTCCTCTCCTTTCTGGTGGTCGCCTTGTCCAGCCTTGAGTGGCAGTCACACAAGTGGCTCCTCCAGCCCCAGCCAAGCTTCAGATGACAGTGGGCCTGGCCAACAGCAATGCAGTCCCCAGAGCCCTGCCCCAGGATTGGTCCTGAATATGACCACAAACACCGAGATAATAAATGATGACTGTCTTTAAATTCTGATTAACATACAATACTTGTACATTTTTTTTTTTTGACAGAGTTAGACAGTGAGAGAGAGAGAGAGAGAGAGAGAGAGAAAGGTCTTCCTTTGCCATTGGTTCACCCTCCAATGGCCGCCGTAGCCGGTGCGCTGCAGCCGGAGCACCATGCCGATCCGAAGCCAGGAGCCAGGTGCTTCTCCTGGTCTCCCATGTGGGTGCAGGGCCCAAGCACTTGGGCCATCCTCCACTGCACTCCCGGGCCACAGCAGAGAGCTGGCCTGGAAGAGGAGCAACCGGGACAGAATCCGGCGCCCCGACCGGGACTAGAACCCGGTGTGCCAGCGCCGCAGGTGGAGGATTAGCCTAGTGAGCTGTGGCGCCGGCCAATGCTTTTACATTTTGACAGGGATGATTATCTTAATTGAGCTGTGGGGATGATGCGATATGCAGCTTCTTACCCATTAATTATTAATTACAAAGGAAGAAATATTAACCATAACCGCAGAGAATTCCTACAGACATTAACTTAACCAGTGATCAAAGATAACGCTACAAGACTGGGAAAAACTACCACCCCTGCCTCCTGCTAGGGCCAGCCTAAATGACGAGGAAACAGTCAGAAAATCTAGATCAAAGAACATTTTGCAAAATCTATTGATGTTAATTTCTCAATTTTGGTAATTATAACATGGTTATAGAAGTAAATTTTTTAAAAGATTATTATTAATTTGAAAGGCAGAGTTACAGAGACAGAAGTGTGTGTGGAGGGTGTGGGGGGCAGAGAGGGAGGTATCTCCCAGCACAGATTCACTTCCTAAATGTCCGGGGCTGGGCCAGAATGAAGCCAGGCGCCAGGAGCTTCTTCCAGGTCTCCTATGTGGGTGTGGCAGGGGCCCAAGCACTTGGGCCATCTTCTGCTGCTTTCCCAGGTGCATTAGCAGGGAGCTGGATTGTTCGTGGGGCAGCCAGGACTGGGCATTGTGATACACTTGGTTAAGTTGCCCCCTGCTGGGGCAATCCCCATGTTTAATCCTCCACCTGCATCCCATATGGGGGCCGGTTCTAGTCCCGCCTGCTCCTCTTCCAATCCAGCTCTCTGCTGTGGCCTGGGATAGCAGCAGAGGATGGCTCAAGTGCTTGGGCCCCTGAACCCGCATGGGAGACCAGGAAGAAGCACCTGGCTCTCGGCTTCAAATCAGCACAGCTCTGGCCATTGTGGCCATTTGGGGAGTGAACCAACGGAAGGAAGACCTTTCTCTTTGTCTCTCTCCCTCAAATAAATAAATAAAATCTTAAAAAAAATTTTTAAAAAAGGAAAACAAGGTGTAGAACTTAGTATATCAAAAGAAACACTCACACTCTAAACAAAATTTTAAAATTTTTATTTACATATTTAATACTTTAAAAACTTTGTTCCTTTTACCTTTATGAATGTTTTCTAAACCACTTAAAAGTCTTTTTAGCAATTCTATACATTAGATCTCAATTAGCATTGCAAGTCCACAAACATATATACATATATATATATATATATAACACCAAGTATTAATCATCTAAGCATTTGCTATTTTTCAAATGTAGGTATTATTGTGACCAATTTTAAAAACCTACATATATATATATTTAAATCTATATATTTAAAAGCAATAAGGAGTCCCACTTTTTGGTCAGGATGTATTTATCATTTATACTAAAGTACTACCATCAGGTGGTAACTCATATTTTGTTAAAAACTACACACTGAAGCAGGTGCTCAGCCTAGTGGCGAAGACACCCGCATCCCACGCTGAGAGGCCTGGGTTTGATTCCCAGCTGACTCCAACTTCCTGCCAATGCCATCCCTGGGTGGCAGCAGTACCAACCCAGTGCATGGGTCCCTAACACCCTTGGGAATACCAAGGGAAGCCTTCCTGGTTCCTGGCTTCAGCCTGGCCCCAGTCCTAGTTGTATTCGGGGAGTGAGAAAGCAAATGGAGCTCTCTCCCCTTTCCCTCTCAATAGTTTTTTTTATTTTTTTAAAGACTTATTTTATTTATTTGGAAGATAGTTACACAGAGAGGTAGAGACAGAGAGAGAGAGGATCCTCTCAATAGTTTTTAAACTACAGACTTATTAGCAACTTGCCATGTAATGAATTAAAACACAGGTAATGAATTAAGTTACAACTATTTTCTGTGGCACAAACATTTTTGTTTTAAACTTTTATTTGAAAGGCATACACACACGACAGATCTCCCATCCATTGGTTCACTTTCCAAATGCCCTCAATAGCTAGGGCTGGGCCAGGCCAGCCGGTAGCCAGGAACCCCTCAGTCCCTGTGTCCCATAGCGGTGGCAGGAACTCTACCCGAGCCACCACTGCTGTCTCCCACGGTCTGCATTAGCAGAAGGCTGGAGCCGGGACTGGAACCCAGCCAATGACACGGGATGCGGGTATTCTAAGTGGCATCTTAACAGTTATGCCAAACATCCATCCTTTTATTTTAATAAAGGGCAATATAAGAAAAATGAGACTGTTTATAGCTATAGAGTGTATCTTTTGCAGAAAAGTGAGTGTGAACTCATCTGTACCTCAAACAAGGTTTGCTGTTTGTGTATCCTGCTGTTACATGTATTTGAGAACTGATCTGCACAGCTCAATAACCATCCAGCAAAAACCTTTTTTGTTAAAAAGCCCCTCAATGAAGTGAAGATTTCACTTTTCATTCAGACCCACTGGGTTTAATTTGATGTTAGGTCAAATGAGGTGTTTCTGAATATATGGTTAACAAGCATGTGAAAGCCATTAGTTGTTATTTTTGCGGTTATTCTTAGCACTAACAATTATTTCTAAGTTGCTTGCCCATTTCAAAGTGTATTGCATTAATTCAAGGACACATACTAAGGACTTCACACTGTGATTTCTAAACACAAACTGCGATGGTGCCACATCAAGGAACTATTTGGAAATGTGACAAAACGGATGTTTGGCACAGGGAGCCACGTTATCAAAGCCCAAGACCATCTGTCCCAGGAGACAGCTCTGGACGGTGCTCAGAAGGGTGCACGGGTTTCTGACACACAACTTCTTCTTTTTTTTTTTTTTTTTTTTTTGACAGGCAGAGTGGACAGTGAGAGAGAGAGAGAGAAAGGTCTTCCTTTGCCGTTGGTTCACCCTCCAATGGCCGCCACGGCCGGTACGGAGTCAGGTGCTTCTCCTGGTCTCCCATGGGGTACAGGGCCCAGGCACTTGGGCCATCCTCCACTGCACTCCTGGGCCACAGCAGAGAGCTGGCCTGGAAGAGGGGCAACCGGGACAGAATCCGGCGCCCCGACCGGGACTAGAACCCGGTGTGCCGGCGCCGCTAGGCGGAGGATTAGCCTAGTGAGCCGCAGCGCCGGCCCCCACACAACTTCTAAAACACTATTCTACACTCACATCTTAGGCATTTTTTTTCAACAAGTGAAGGTAAGATTTTAATGAAGTCTATGGCATTTGAGAGGCAGAAGCTAACTCTTACCTGAGAAAACAACAAACACTTGTGTATCTGTGGTAGATGCTGGGTATCCATCCAGACATCTCTACTTCCTCACAGAATCAGTTTTCCATAGTTAGTAAGTGCATCTGTGTTTGTCTCTCACTAAATGCTAATTTCTTGCAGGCAGTAATTATGTCTTCTTCATGTGTAAAACAAAAAAACCAGCAGATAAGCAGCACCCATCTATTTTATTTTATTTTTTAATTTATTTGACAGATGAGAGAGAGAGAGAAAGGAGCAGCACCCACTTAAATGGCCAATCTATTTGATGACTTCAGAGTTGTGTAAGAAACTACATGTACAACGTGGAATTGATGAGTAGATGTGATACATAAAAATTATAAAGACTGGGGCCGGCGCTGTGGCATAGTGGGTTAATACCCTGGCCTGAAGCACTGGCATCTCATATGGGCGCCAGTTCAAAACCCGGCTTGATCCACTTCCAATCCAGCTCTCTGCTATGGCCTCACAAAGCAGTAGAGGATGGCCCAAGTCCTTGGGCCCCTGCTCTCGCATGGGAGACCTGGAAGAAGCTCCTGGCTCCTGGCTTTAGATTGGTGCAGCACCAGCCATTGCGGCTAATTGGGGAGTGAACCAGCAGATGGAAGACCTCTCTCTCTGCCTCTCCTCTTTCTGTGTAACTCTGACTTTCAAATAAATAAATAAATACATCTTTAAAAAAATAATCAAATACCATGTATCACATTTAATTCATGGTTTCTGAACTTCTGATTAATACAAAATATAAAAACTTCAATTTATATGACTGCACTCTCTGGTGGCCTATTTCACCTATTTTACAAAATCCAGCAATATATCCCAGCCTCACTGCTTACAGAATACTCTATCCACTATGCCTGCCGCTCCCTCCTTCCTTCATCTCCCACCGCACATATGTGTGTGTATATAACACAAATATACAATTATTTGAAAACACAAGCACAACATAACCTTGGATTAAAAAACTGTCTCAAGATATGTGCCTTGTAAATGTATAGGCCAGGTATCTGGTCCAGTGGTGAAGTCCCGACTTGGGATGCCTGCCTCCCACACTGGAGTCCAGCAAGTGCACATCCGGGGAGGCAGCAGATGATGGCTCAAGTGCTTGGGTCCCTGACACCCACATGGGAGACCCAAAGTGAGTTCTGGGGTCCCTGACATCCCCGTAAGAGACTCGAATTGAGTTCTGGGTTGATGGCTTTGGCCTGGCCCAGCCCTGGCTGTTGCAGGCATTTGAGAAGTGAACCAGAGGATGGAAGATCTGTCTCCGTCTTTCAAACAAAATGAAAATAAATAAGTAACATACAGCAGACACGATGTAACGCATGAAGCTCTCTGGGTTCACAAAGGACACCTCACAGTCAACACAGACCCTCCATGCCTTCCCTCTGCTACATTCGCAGGGAAGCTTTTCCCTGCAGAGACTTGGTTGCAAGATCAGCTCGCTCTCGCAGCAGGTTAGCTTCCTCAGCACTTGTGTGGGCCTGTGCATTCTTCAGTAAGAAGTGGCTGATGAAAAGCTTCAAGCCTTCTCGCAACATCCCCAGCTTTGGGTTGTCAGATACCCTGGAAAGGAATCACAGGAACACATGTCAGAGATGATCTAGTCTCTCCTAGATCTCAATTCCAGGTCTCTTCAATTGTGAGACGTAACCCACTTTCTTTTAAAAGTAACATTCTAATTAACAGCTTCATAACATGTTCTGTAACAAATCATTGTTAGTTTGCGTTAGTCAAGTTCTGTTTCCCCCATCTAATGCCCAAGATATTAGCTTACAATTAAAACTAATTTATTAAGCTACACAAAGAAGAACCATGCTTTTATAAATCCACATAAGTGAAAACAAACTCTTCTTATCTTTTCCATGTCTTATCAGAATAAGCTAGAAACCTACCTTGCAAAAATTAAGCCAAGGTCTTCAGCTTCTGTTTCCATTAACAGAATATTCAACACTTTTCTCAAAAAGTGAACTCTGGGTTTGTCCAATTCACTGAATTCAACCACCTAATAGTCAAGATGTAGAGAAAAATAAAGTTATATTGATATAAACAACTTTTATACTAGTTTGCAAATAGTTAGCGAGATCAAACATTTAATACCTCCTCACTCCCCCACCCCACCCCTGATTTAAGAGGCTAATCATAGCTATTGCTTGGCAGGGGTGTGAACTGTTAAGAACTTGGCAATGGTAAATAAAGTCGATGTGGGGGCGAGGTGGGGGGGAGGAACAGTGCTGTGGTGCAGTGGGTTAATGCACTGGCTTCAGGTGCTGGCACCCCATATGGATGCTGGTTCAGGACCCGACTGCTCCACTTCCAATCCAACTCTCTGCTATGGCCTGGGAGGGCGGTGGAGGGTGGCCCAGGTCCTTGGGACCCTGCACCCAAGTGGGAGACCCAGAGGGGGCTCCTGGATCCTGGCTTCGAATCTGCACAGCTCAAGCCGTTGCAGCCAATTGGGAGTGAACCACCAGATGGAGAACCCCCCACCCTGCCCCACCTCTCCTCTCCTCTGTGTGGCTCTGACTTTCAAATAAATAAATAAACCTTAAAAAAAAAAGATGATAGGGGTATACCTTACACATTAGAGATTTCATTTCTAAAATTGGAAAATGTATTATCTCCATCCTTTACTGAATTTAGATAGGGAAAGATTAATTCATATACAAGGGCACTTCAAAAAGTTTATGGAAAGATGGAATTAAAGATAAGTTTATTCTGGTACAAAAATTTTTATTATTTATTTATTTGAAAGGCAGAGTTAGGAGAGTGACTAAGCTTCCATCTGCTGGTTTACTACCCAAGTGGCTGCCAATAGCTGGGGCTGGGCCAAGTAGAAGCCAGGAGCCTGGAGGCTCCTCTGGGTCTCACATGTGGATGCAGGGGCCCAAGCACCCGGGCCATCTTCCACTGCTTTCCCGGGCACCTTAGCAGGGAGCTGGATCACAAGTGGAGCAGCTGGGTCTTGAACCAGTGCCCACGTGAGACGCTAGTGTCGCAGGCAGAGGCTTAACCTGTTATGCTACAATGCCGGCCTATACATGCTTTATTCATAATGTGTTTTTTTCATGAACTTTCAAAAAAATTTTAATTTAGTTATGACTTACATTCATTTTACTTGAAAGGCAGAGAGACAGAGGGAAACAGAGAAATCTCCCATCCATTGGTTTACTCCCCAAATGCCTTAGCAGTCAGGGCTGGGCCAGGCTGAAGCCAGGAAGGAGCCAGGAGTTCAGCCCAGGTCTCCCATGTGGGTGGCAGGGACCCAAGTGTTTGCGCCATCATCTGCAGTATACTCATACCGTGAAATACTATACAGAAGTAACAGAATCAGAAAATGAAAATGCAGATATTAACATGAATAAATGCAAACTCTGGTTGCATTTAAAATACTGAACTGCAGAAGGCTACTAAGTACAGTGACACCATGTACACCATGTACACAGAAGAGGTGAAAACAGGTAAAACAGTGTCACAGACTCACAGGTACAGTGACAGTACCAAAAGCAGGCCTTAGAATAAGGAAACGACCAGAGTGAAGCGCAGCCCCTCTGGGCAGGGCGGAGAGGGCATCAAGGGCTCTCTGAAGTGCCATCAGCTAAGGAGCTTCCCTGCGCCCCTCTTGGTCACCTGTGGGGAGCAGCACTTCCTACTCCACGAGGAACTCACCACGTGAGTGAGCACAGGGCAGGATTAAGTCCACATGGCAACAAGCTAGCAATTGATTTTCCAGGCTCTAAGTCACTCCAGTTTTCAGAACACAGCGTGAGGCTTAGCACTCTCATTTGCAGCACAGTAGCCAAACCACACCACACACCAGAAGGGATGCACGGCCGTGTGAACAGACGCTCTGATGAGTGGCACGGAGGACACACGCAATATGTAAGTGACACGGAGCTACAGGCAGCCCACAGCAGGGGCACAGAGTCAGTGCCCCTCCACCATCTCAGCTGTCCACTCTCTTAGCCTGTAAGTTCTTCAGAAGTCCAGAATTTTCTTAGGCTATCCAGATCCCAGTGCTCTCACCATGCAAGTACTACAGGCCCCCCTGGACTCCCATCTCCTATCTATAGGTTTCATGGCCCACTCGAGGAACATCTGGGCAGCTGCATTTCACGGCTTTGCAGTCCCAAAACATGGTGAGGAGGGAAGGGCATACAGCTTTAAAATCTTTCACTGAAGTGAAAAGAACTAATACCAGGCCTCAAGAGACCGTCTCCTACTTCCTCTGTCTTCCTCCCGAATGAACAACAACCAGTTCAGGACTTTATGATTAGGGCCAGCGTATCAACCTTAAGTCCAAAACAGATTTAGATTAGCAGAAAAACTAACTGTGCTTCCCTTTACTAGGTACACTTACACCGTATGTTAATTTGGCCACATCTATGTTAGCTATGTCTGCTAAATCAGAATCTAAGGGAAAGATCTTGTTCAAGTACCAAACATAAGCAACTATGCTACTATTTCCACAGCTTTAAAAAACTTCAAAGAAAACAAAAATTTTCGTACATCACACAAACCTTTAAAATGGAAAGTGGGAGCGATTTTGTCTTCAACAAGTGGGCCACCAGGTGAACCAAATTGGAGAAATTAATGGCTGGCAGATTTTCTAAGTCCCGAAATTTGTCCCAAATGCTGAACTGGAAAGTCATCTAATGTAAGAGTTAAAAAAGAAAAAGAAAAAAAAAACACAGTTAAATGCAACAAACTATTAGAATATATCACTAAGAAGATAATCTAAAGGTATTCTATTTTTTTTTCTTCTAAAGATTTTATTTATTTATTTGAGAGGCAGAGTTACAGATAGTGAGAGGCAGAGACAGAGAGAGAGAGAGAGACAGAGACAGAGAGAGAGAAATGTCGCTCCTCGTCTTCATGGGGGAACAACACTAAACCCTGCCTAGGCTTCCTATCCAAGTCACGGCACCATCATGTCGCTCCCCGTCTTCGTGGAGGAACGACACTGAACCCTGCCTAGGCTTCCTATCCAAGTCACGGCACCATTATGTCGCTCCCCGTCTTCGTGGAGGAACGACACAGGACCCTGCGCTGTTCTTTTGTCTGCTCGGCCCTCCCCGAGTTTGCTGCTGGTTCTTGCCGGGTTGGCTACTGTCCCTTCCACCTCCGTGGAAGGGCGGTTCCCCCTAGCCACTTTCCCCACTTCCGCAGGGGAGCGGCACACCGCCGGCCGGCTCTCTCGGGGGCTGCACAGGTGTTCCTTCAGATAGATGTTCCCCTTAGATGTTCCTGGTGCATGTTGTCTCTCTCCTCCTTTATAGTCCTCTTCCGCCAATCCCAACTCTGCTACCCACACGCCGAGTACGCTGCTCTCCTCCAATCAGGAGCAGGATCAGCTCCTGGAGGTCATCACTCAAGTTGGCGAGAGGCAGCTGTGTAGAAGTTGTTTACTCCCTTTCAGCGCCATATTGTGGGAGAGCAGATGCATAGAATAAGTCTTAATTCCAGTAACTTAGTCTAGTCCGAGTTGCTCCCAGTTGCTCCCCACAGAGAAAGGTCTTCCATCTGTTGGTTCACTCCCCAACTGGCTGCAACGGCTGGAGCTGCACCGATCTGAAGCCAGGAGCCAGGAGTTTCTTCTGGGTCTCCCACATGGGTGGAGGGGCCCAAGGACTTGGGCCATCTTCTACTGCTTTGTGAGGCCTTAGCAGAGAGCTGGATCAGAAGTGGAGCGGCTGGGATGCTGGTGCTGCAGGCAGGGGATTAACCTACCGCGCCACAGCGCTGGGCCCCTAAAGGTCTTCTATTTCTTATCGGTCCACTTTTAATGTTCTAAGAAGCAAGACTTTCAGGAGTTAACTATACTGTCCTTTCCTGGACAACAGCTGAAATGATTTCATCATAATCTTTTTTTTTTTCCAGTTTTTCCTTCAAATCAGCAGATACAAGTAACTTTAAATAAAAGTTATCAGTAAGCTACACTACAAGACTGCTGCACTATAAAACTGAAGGGAGACCCATTAGCACAACCACAGGACAAGGGGATGTAGGATGTAGTGGGTGTGTGGACCCTTCGTCACCTCCTCTGGCTGTTTTACCTCTTCTCTTGGTGAGAGGTGGGCCTGGCTACTAGAATGGACCATGTATTCAGGGATCGGGTGGACTCTCGATTTGGGGAAATAATTTTTAGGTGAGTTGAGCCAGACAGAACGTTAGAAAATACAGCAGGGCGCATATAACTGGTGACCTTCTAACTACGTTACCTGAAATCTTCTTTCATATTCACAGAATTTGCTGGCCAAGAATGCATAGAAGGGATTATAAGTTTTTTCTTGAAGGCAGCAATCCAAAAGAACATGGACTATTTCTCTTTCCTGCTGATCCTTCAGTCCAAGCCTAGAAAACAGAAGAGCAATGACTAAAACGTCACCCAGTTTCCTTCAGAAGGGCACATTCTTGTCTCTAAAAGTTTGGATGAGGGGCCGGTGCTGTGGTGTAGCGGGTAAAGCCACTGCCTACAAAACCAGCATCCCATATGAGTGCCAGTTCAAGTCCCAGCTGTTACACTTCCAATCCCACTCCTAGCTGATGTGCTTGGGAAAGCAGTGGAAGATGACCCAGGTCCTTGGTTCCCTGCACTATGTGGGAGACCTGGTAGAAGCTCCTGGCTCCTGGCTTGTGGCTCTTGTATGGCCCAGCACTGGCAGTTGCAGCCATCTGGGGAGGGAACCCATGGATGGAAGATCTCTCTCCTTCTACCTCTGCCTTTCAAATAAATAAAATAAATTTTTTTTTTTTTTTTTGACAGGCAGAGTGGACAGTGAGAGAGAGAGACAGAGAGAGAAAGGTCTTCCTTTGCCGCTGGTTCACCCTCCAATGGCCGCCGCTGCAGCCGGCGCACCGCGCTGATCCTGGCAGGAGCCAGGAGCCAGGTGCTTTTCCTGGTCTCCCATGGGGTGCAGGGCCCAAGCACCTGGGCCATCCTCCACTGCACTCCCTGGCCATAGCAGAGAGCTGGCCTGGAAGAGGGGCAACCGGGACAGAATCCGGCGCCCCAACCGGGACTAGAACCCGGTGTGCCGGCGCCGCAAGGTGGAGGATTAGCCTATTGAGCCACGGCGCCGGCTCTAAATAAAATAAATCTTAAAAAAGAAAAAAAAGTTTGGATGATAGCGAGCCAGGCAAAGGACGCTGTGGCGGCAACAGACACGAGGCTGCACGGGACCAGCTCAGTCCCTGACTTTCCTCTCAGTTTCCAGTCATATGGTACAACACGATCTACAAGTTCTATGCCAGCGACTAAAGTCTGTGACTGGTGCCTGACTGACCATAACAGGATTCATCATGCATGCCTTTAAAGCCAGGCTCTTGCTATGGCAGTAATTTCACTTTTAAAACCTAAGGTGTAAATTACAAATAGTGAGATCCATCCTTTCAAGTGTACAGTTCTGGGAATGTGCCTATACAGCCAGGCAACTTCAACCAGCACAACAGAAACAGAGAAAATGCCATGGCCCCCCAGTCCCTACCCGGGCACCTGTGTTCCCTCAGCCCGCAGGGCACAGCCATTCTGTTTTCTGTCCCTCTAGTTTTGCCTCTGCCATTGCGTTACAGGAACAAGACACAGTCGTAAGGCAGGAGCCATGCGGGCCTGGCTTCCTGTACTGGGCAGAGTACACCAGAGTTTCTGTGTGCTCTGGACGGTCTGTCCCCCCGGAACGCCCAGCAGTACTTGCTGCACCAGTACTCCGTCACCTCCTCGGCAAGGGGCAGGTGGGCTGATCACAGCTTTATTTATTTAAATTTATTTTTATTTATTTGAAAAAGAGTTACAAAGTAAGAGAGGTCCTCTATCCGCTGGTTTATTCCCCAGATGGCCACAACAGCTGGAGCTGAGTCCATCTGAAGCCAGGAGCTTCTTCCGGGTCTCCCACGTTGATGCAGGGGCCCAAGGACCTGGGCCATCCCCTGCTGCTATTCCCCATGCATTAGCAGGGAGCTGGATTGGAAGTGGAACCAATGGGACTCGAACCGGCACCCATATGGATGCCAGCCCTGTAGGCTGGGGCTTTAACTCACAGTGCCACAGCGCCAGCCCCACAGACTGCCTTTAGAAATGAGAAAGAGCTGAGCACAGTTGAAGCTGCCATCTGTGTACAAAGGCAGACATTCTACAATATTAGAGGAAGGGAAATATAAGCTCCACTGCCAAAACAAACAAAAACAAAAAATACCAACAAGAAACAAAGACACCCAACAGAACCATGAGACATCACTCAAGCCCTTTACTGCCATTTTATCAATTCATGTTGATTACATGAATGAGAAAATCAGTTCATTAAATATAGTTTTATAGAGTAAAATCTAAATAGAAAGTCGACTGTGAGAAAAATAAAAGAAGTCCTTGCCTGGTAGGGATAAGCCAGACCCTATGACTAGAGAATATGAGCTCTCCTAAAAACTAGGGAACATAAAAGACGTAATAAACAAAACAAAGTACAGAAGGCTAAAGAAAGCTTAGGATTTCTACTTCAAGGCATCCAGTTTAGAGAATAAAATCCTACTATCAGAATCCTAAAAAGAACCAGTTCCCAAGCTGGAGTCAAATAAAGGAAAATGAATTAACATTAAAATATCTAGGAGTACTGTGTAAAAGTACACAGATGTCTGCAAAATCTTACTACAATCAATACCAAAGAGGATACTACAAAGCTTTTCCTGAGAATTAGAAGGACAACTTGAATGGAAAGATTTATATGTATGTTGAATTCATCTAGGACAACTAATAGCCACTGAGATTATCAGTTGATTTTCTAACACTTGCAGTCAAAAACACCAAGTCTTGGCCCTAAGATGTTTTTAAGATGAACCACCTGTGACAAATCAGCAGCAATGGGATTCCGGCTCCAGGGAAGCCTGGCTCCAACCAGGGCATGTGCCAAGCAACAGGGAAAGCCCAGCTCGCTTAGCAGCGCCTGACTCAGCCATGCACAACTCAAAAAACCAACTCAACTTATTTCTTTTACAGCACCTGATCAAATAACAGTCAACACGTTCACACATATGCTTACTTTAGAAGCTTTTCAAAAGCATCCAAAAAATCCTCACTGGTCATTATTGTACAGAATATGTTTCTCCTGATGTCAGTGTTCATCCTCTGTTTTCGGGCAAGTTCTAGTATCTTTGAACTAATCTGAAAAGAGGAATAATTAACATGCGTCATACAAGCTTCTGTCATTAACAGATCATGTGGATGTCTTCATGGACGTCGTTGTTTTCTGAACAACACTAAACCAAATTTCACTTAGTGTAATTATTAAAGTTTCTAAAGAGTCAGTAACACATTCTATAGCTTAAGCTGAATATAATAATAAATTATACATGAATATATATACATAAAGTTAAATCTTTACTCTCAGGCAATCTTTCCATAAAAGGAAAAGTGCTCCATTTGGGAGACTTTTCAGCACTGGTGCGATCTCAGTCTAAGCAGTAACAAAGTGAAATACAGAGAAGTGGTTGCTGCTACCGAGCCTGGGGAGCCATGACCAAAAAGCGTGATGTGCAGTTCCAGGATGGGAAAGCACATTTGGGAAAATGAAGGAAATCTGGATAAAATACAGACTTTAGTTAATGACAACGAATACAGATGGACAAAAATTTTTCCAATTTGTAATTCATGGCTCATGGACTAGAACCCACATCAACTGGAAAAACAGTATGTGCCCAAATTTCAAAGAGAGGTATCTACAAAATCAGGGCATTAATTTTTAGGTATTCCCTTCATTCCATTCAACTTTTAGAACTTTTCTGTGGTATGCTTTGAGGCTAAAAAATTCCTTAAAAATAAATACAGAATTAAGTTGTAACACAAAAGCAATTTCTTCTTATAAGGTCTTCAAATAAACCCACGTCACACATTTCAGTAAGTGTTCACGAACAATAGGGGAGGTACTCTGGGTAAGCCATAACCGCCAGGGTGGGCGTGCCAGCAGCCTGACAGCCTCAGCATGAGGTCTCCCTACCGTCCCAGGAAGCTCCTTCTGTGGCTGTGAATGACGACTGCTGTTAATCATTGGGGCCCCGCTCCACGCAGACCCCACAATCCACCAGCGACCTGTCTGCTCGGCATTCAAGACACTGTCCCAGGATATGCGAAGCTGAGTCTCTGTACCCGAGCCAGCGCTGCGGACCTGATTAAAGGAAGAGATCTGGTGAGACACCTCAAAATCTTTTAAAATTAATTGTTTTCGTTTTATTTGAAAGGCAGAGAAACACGGATTTTCTATTCACTGGTTCACTCACAAATGCCTGCAACAGCCAGGGCTGGGCCAGGAGACAGGAACTGCATCCAGGTCTCCCACACAGCTGTGGCAGGGGCCCTGGTGTTTCGGCCATCATCTGCTGTCTCCCCAGGGTGCGCATCAGCAGGAAGCTGGATCAGAAGCTGAGTGGAGCCAGGATGTCAACAAGGCACCGTGATATGCAAGCATCCCAAATGGCACCTTAACTGCTGTGCCAAATGCCTGCCCCAACTGAGAGGTTTTTAACTGGTTCATATCCTGTAGCTCCAACACATATTTTCATTTTTTTGGTAACGACATTTTTGGTGCGTACGTATTGTGATGAGTCACTGACAACTGAATAGTTAACTGTTTAGGATAATATTCAAGTCAGTGATTTTAAACTCACAGTATTTTATATTTGAGATTTGTGGGTTTATCAACCAAACAACACTGTCTTTGGATACCTGTGATGACAGGGCAACTGACTAAACTGTCTCAGACTCGGGGCAGGTGAGAAGGGGACCTGGAGGAGCCTGGGACTTGAGATGACCATGGCTGAAAGTCTTACTCTGATTGGTAAGGTTGGTGAGGATCAGCCCAGGGCCACACACTAAATAGACAAGGAGATTATATAGGTGAGTGGCCCCCAAACCCCTACCCTCCATCCTTCCCAACGTCCTGGAGGTCTTTGGCTTTGGTGGTGCCTGGTCTTCCCTGACAGCTATCAGATGACCCTGTTGGGCAATCCAAATTTAGCACCTTGAGGTGAAGCATGGGAGATGCTCACCTACCGCTGACTTTCCTGCACAGGAACTCCGCAGACACCACCAACCCACTCAGATGTCATGACCGAAAACAGCAGCGGCTTCCAATCTAAAGCCTTAAAACTCTCACTGGCCGGAGCGGGATCTGCCTTGCAATCCAATCATTTCTTGATTCTCATCATGACACTGAAACTCAGAACAAATCAGAACTCAAAATTGGGGCCGGCGATTTGTGCAGCGGATTAAGCCATCACGTGTGACACCCACACGTGAGTGCCTCGTTTGAGACCCTGCTACTTCACTGCCAATCCATCTCCCTGCTAATGCACACCAGCAGATGACAGCTCAAGTGTGTGAGCTGCCACCACATGGTAGACCAAGGTAGAGTTCCTGGCTCCTGGCTTCAGCCAGGCCCAGCTCTAGCCCTGGCTGTTGTAGGCATCTGGGGAGTGAACAAGCAGATGGAGGATCTCTATCTCTGCCTTTCAAATAAACAAACAAACCTTAAAAAAATTGCAGAGAAAATGACAAGTCACTTACCAGAGCTCTCTGCAGTTTCCTCAGTTTCTCCACTGGCTCGGGATCATAGCCTGGAATTTTACGCATGTCATTGTTCTTCAGCGCCAACATGGTTTCTAGCATAAACCGAACCTTTAAGGAAAACAAATCCCCATCATGTCAAGTAGTTTAAACAACTTACCATGCAACTTGGCAAGATACACACCACTCCTGAGGCACAGGGTCATCACTGCTAACCTTTAGGTAGACACAGTCTGCATTAACTTTAGGGCTATCTAATACTGTAAGAAATCTGTCCCCCAGCCTTAAGTGGGACCTTGAATACTACCCAGAGAGCTTACTTCTCTCTTCCTAACCTTCCACAGCCCCAGACTCCCTCATCATTCCACCGTCTGATCTGAAAACAGCCACGCTTACCAAGTCCTCAACCCACGCTCCCGTCCCACCTGACCCTCTGGCACACCCCCTCCTCTCATTCTCAACTGCTCCCCACCACTGGCCTGCTGACTGTTTTTTCTAACTTCTATGCTGAAAATAATGTCACACAGAAAAGTTCAAGTATATAAGGAATTCCCACATACTTTCTCTGAGATTTCTCCTAATAACAACATTTTCTTGAGATAAAATTCATACCCTAAAATTCACACATTTACAGGATACAATTAAATGGTCTGTAGTACATTCAGTTGTCCAACTATCACCATCATCACCCTAATAAAAACCCCATGTCCGTTAACAGTCATTCCCCATTTTCTCCCAACACTCCCAGCGCCAGCCACTAATCTGCTTTCTGTCAACTCTTCTGCATTGCATGCAGGGATAAATACTTCCTGGGGACACTCCAGGCCCTTGGCTTCTGTGACTTCTCATTTCTCCTGCACACCGCACCCTTTGCTCTCACAGCCGGCTTCTCCTCCTCCTCGCAGCTACGGGCTGATGTTGTGTACTCTGGATCTCTTAATGCCCTGCTCTACACCAGGCGGCTCCACCCACCCCTGTGGCTTCCAGGACCCCTGATATGAAGTCACCTTGGAATCCTTCACAGCCAACACCGCTTCAGAGCTAACCCAACTGCTCTGATTTCACTAATTTAAAAATGGCGCTATCTCCCCTCCAGACCTGTGTCTCCTGCATGTCCTACTGCTCACCTAAAGAGTGACCCCAACCCCTCCCCCTCCCTTCACTGCAGCCCCCCACTACATCTGGCCACTCTGACAAAGGCCACCCCATCTTCCCAGACTTCTGCAGTGGCCCAGCCCCTCTTTAAAGTGATAGAGGAAAACCGTCCATGTCAGGAACCCTTCAGATCCTCTAGGATGAATTCCCGACCCCCCAAGACCTGGTCCTGCCCTCTCACCCCAGGGGCGATCTCCATGCACTGGTCTTTTCCTTTTCCCTCAGCAAGTCACACCATGTGCTGTTCTAGACCTTGCACCATCAGAACAGCAAATGAAGTAGGAGCGATGACTGGGCCCTTTTATAGTGGAGGAAGCCAAGGCTTGGAAGACCCAGGCCAGAGCCAGGAGCCCAAGCAGACTAACACTTGAGCCTCATGCCTCATGCCCTCCTCAATAAGCCTTCTGTATATAGCTGGAAGTTAAATAAGTTGGTTTTTAAATTCACAAAATATGTATTTAAGTCCTTAGCAGAAAAACAAGTTTCATTCATGTAATAAAGCTATAAGACTAGATAAGGCAGAAGAGAAATCATCAGAAAATGAGGTGTAGTATTTTAAGTTCTGGCCAGTTTGTGAGGTTTAGGCACTTCGGAAGGAGTTCAGGACACGCCCTCATACCCTGGTCTGGTCCTGGAACTTGCCGCCTGCTCCGCTGGCTTTGGTCTGCGCTTCAGTGATCAGCTCCTTCAGTGACAAAGCATCATCCTTTCTCAATGAAAAGCCCACGTTTTTCAGCATTAAGAGGATCAGTTCAATATCTTTTTCTGTGAAAGTTCCAACTAGTTTTTTCAAAATGTCAAAGATGAGCAGAGACTGCACCACGTGGAAGTTGTACAAATGGGCAATAATGGTAAAGAGGTTATCACATTCTTTCCCTTCACTTCCATTTTTATACACATCATCGAACTTCCTCACCACAGCCTCCAGAAAGTGAGCACCGACCTGAAGAAGACACACAAAAGGATCAAGCGTTCTCATCGTCTGCTGAGTGCGCAGCAAACTCAACTCCTGCTTTTAAAATCAGCACCCAAAATACACATGAGGTAGGATATAAATCTCAGCAGGGCATAAACTTTAGTAACTGTGAAGTACCGTAACGGTACTTCCTTTTCTTTCAAATCAACAACAAAGAGCAATTTTTTGGCCAGCAGCCATTGATTCCTTAGAAAAACAAGCTTGTTAAATATCTTGTTAAGAACGTGTCTAAATCCAAAATATTCTATTAACAATATTCATTTCTTGGCTGGTGCCGTGGCTCACTAGGCTAATTCTCTGCCTGCAGCGCCAGTACTCTGGGTTCTAGTCCTGGTTGGGGCACCGGATTCTGTCCCAGTTGCTCCTCTTCCAATCCAGCTCCCTGCTGTGGCCCGGGAAGGCAGTGGAGGATGGCCCAGGTCCTTGGGCCCTGCGCGTAGCTCCTGGCTTTGGATCAGCGCAACACGCCGGCCGTAGTGGCCATCTGGGGGGTGAACCAACGGAAGGAAGACCTTTCTCTGTCTCTCTCTCTCTCACTAACTCAGCCATCAAAACAAAACAAAACAAAAAAACCAATATTCATTTCTCAAGACCTTCTAGATTTTAACTTCAAGTTAAATTTCTTACAAGGAAGCAATGCAAATGATATCTAAAATAGAAATATAAACAGATTTTCAATATCAAAGGCTACCAACCAGACAGGTACTTCACCACTGTTAGGGAACTCAGGTACAATGGATAAGAGGTCTCATTTTCCGCGGCCGTGTCTCTGGTTTTAAAGGCAGTGTGGGAACACACCCACTCAGTTCAGCCTGCATTCCACTGGGCACCAGGACCTGATGCAGCATGTACTGCTTTCTTAGGGGACCCCCAGGTAAGCCAACGGAGACATCTGACAGAACGGAACAACTGGATGCCTGCAGTAGCTCTGGCAAGGTCACTGACCGTGCCTTCTCCTTCATGTTCTGATCCATTCGATTCTAAGTTACATAGGCACATGCTGGGGAATGACAAAGACCTGGACGTGAATCTGTGATTTTGAGCAAGTTACTAAACCTCTGTTTTTCCAGTCTGTAAAACTGAGATAATGAAACCTGAAGTAAGAAATGATAGTTATGGGGGCCAGTGCCGTGGTGCAATAGGTTAATCCTCTGCCTGTAGCACCGGCGTCCCATATGGGTGCCGGTTCTAGTCCTGGCTGCTCCACTTCCAATCCAGCTCTCTGCTGTGGCCTGGGAAAGCAGTAGAAGATAGCCCAAACCCTTGGGCCCCTGCACCTGCATGGGAGACCCAGAAGAAGCTCCTGGCTTCAGATGGGTGCAGCTCCAGCTGTGGCAGGCATCTGGGGAGTGAACCAGCGGGATGGAAGACCTTGCTCTCTGTCTCTCCCTGTCTGTAACTCTACCTCTCAAATAAATAAAATCTTAAAAAAAAAAAGGAAGAAATGGTAGTTATGAATCCTGCTGATAACACTATCATGTCTTTATTTTCTCCCCAGTCTCAGCTCAAGCTGAGAAAAGGTGGTAGCAGGGACACAGTGGAGACAGGGAGTGATACCAATAGTCAGGAGCTGATGGCTGAACAAGGCAGCTGTGCTGGGCTGGGGAAGAAAGGGACAGGCACAGCACTGCCTCAGGACAACACCGGGAGGGTGTGATCCATCACTGAATGTGAAAGACTAAGGACTATGATTGCCAAGGTTTTGGACTAGGAAACCAGCAGGTACAAGAGGAGCAGCAGGGCCGGTGCCGTGGCTCCCTAGGCTACTCCTCTGCCTGAGGTGCCGGCACACCGGGTTCTAGTCCCGGTCGGGGCGCCGGTTCTGTCCCGGTTGCCCCTCTTCCAGGCCAGCTCTCTGCTGTGGCCAGGGAGTGCAGTGGAGGATGGCCCAGGTGCTTGGGCCCTGCACCCCATGGGAGACCAGGAGGAAGCACTTGGCTCCTGGCTTTGGATCGGCACAGCGCGCCAGCCGTGGCAACCATTTGGGGGATGAACCAACGGAAGGAAGACCTTTCTCTCTGTCTGTCTCTTTCTCTCACTAACTCTGCCTATCCAAAAAAAAAGGAGCAGCAGGGCAAAATCCATTTAAGACGTATTAACTTTCAACCACGGACGTTAGGCAGGACTGAGTGTAGTGGTGATGGAAATTTCAGTAATGGGAAAACATGCACAGATCATTGTTGGGTTGCAAAAAAGGAAAATGCTAGAATCCAGACAAAAGCAGCAGACTGGCAGAAGGCAACAGTGACTTCCTGGAGGTCAGCTCTGACAGACTGGATACACTTTAGTTTTTAAAGACCTGAGACTTCCAATTCAATCCCCTTCACTACACATAACCTTGAAGAATATACTCTCCTATCATGATTACAACATCGTATTTAAACACAAGTTAAAAAAAATTAGGATTCTACAAATATCAAGAAAAATTCAGGTATACATCCTCAAGTATGTTTCAATCATACAAATAGAATTTGTCAAAATTTCAAATTCCATTTAATATCTTCAAAATAAAACAGTATAACATGTAAAAATGTGAATAGAATTTTTGCTGCTAAAGGTATTTAAGCATATACATGAACTGTTTTAAAAAATATTTATTTATGTGAAAGGCAAAGTGACAGCAGAGGGAGAGACAGAGAGAGGTGCTGGCTCTGCTGGTTCGCCCCCCAAATGCTGGTGACACATGGGCCAGCTCAGGCTGAAGCCAGGAAGCAGGAACTCTTCCAGCTGGACTGCGAGTGGAGGCAGCACTCAATCGCAGGTGCTCTGATACGGAACAGGCGTGGACCAAGCGGTGGCATAACTCACTGTGCCATGCTTGCCCCTACGTTAATTCTTCCGTGTCAATTTTAACACAAATGTGCACAGCCTTGATTTTTTATTTTTAAATGAATTATAAAAGCAGTTCTGTAGCTAACACCATTATCCTTAACACATTTCTTTCCTTCCATGAATTCCTGTGAGGACGCCTGCTTCACTATGGAACTGAAAGAATGTTAATGGAACCAGCGTCCTGAGAGCTCATCACACTTTGGCAGAACTTTTAGTGGATGTCATTAGCTAAAGGGCTGTAATGACTTCCCCTCGGAACAAGTCATTTCATTGCCTTTCATGCTATTAGTGAGGGTCTAAATGACAAATAGGACCAATAATCTCATGTTTTCAAATCAAGTAAATTCCTGATGTACTGTGGGTGGCCAGAGTCTACAATCTGTAACACAACTCAGTGAAATGTTGCCTGTACTAAAATCATTTTGATTATTAAGTCCGCCGAAGTATACCAATTTGATCTAGGAGATGGGAGACATACTGAGGAAGCCACAGAACAGTACTGAATTATGGTAATCACAGGACACAATGAATGGTGTCCAGTAATCCCATTATGCTTTGTAATGATGAGAAAATGGACTCACACATTCTGAGTACAGCTCTTAGGAAAAAAAATTACTTCAAAAGAGTGATTCCCAAAGCAGCTGGCGCAGGCTCTTCATAACTGAGACAAGCTAGGCAGCTGAGAAGAGAGTCCTGCTGCCTGGAAGACTCTGGGCCTAGACCACTCTCCACCGTCCTCAGCTTCCCAATGCCCAGTAGCTCTGCAAGTTTCCATGTGGGTCAGAGATTAACTAGGAATAGTGATGAAACCCACTGTGGGAGGAAAAGCAAGCTAGGAAATATAGAGAGGAAGAGCAGAATTTTAGCAAGAAAATCTCCTCAATTATAGATAGGTTAGAGGGACTGGTGTTGTGGCGCAGAGGGTTAAAGCCACGGCCTATAGCGCCGGCATCCCATACGGGTGCCAGTTCGAGTCCTGGCTACTCCACTTCTGATCCAGCTCTCTGCTATGGCCTGGGAAAGCAGTAGAAGATGGCCCAAAAGTCCCTGAGTCCCTGCACCGCATGGGAGACCCGGAAGAAGCTCTCGGTTTTGGATCGGCGCAGCTCCGGCCATTGCGGCCATCTGGGGAGTGAACCAGTGGATGGAAGACCTTTCTGTCTGTCTCCCTCTCATTGTCTGTAACTCTACCTCTCAAATAAATAAATAAATAAAACACACAGTAGCCTCTGCTACACCTTCCGTATGGACTAACTCAATCTTAACAACTCCACAGGGGAAGACCTGGAGGCCTGAGACCCCTGCAGGGGACAGAGCTGTGCGTGACAGCTGTGTGCACTCTGACCTCAGCAGCATCTTCACCCCACTCCACACTGCTCTAACACGGAGCCTCCCGGGGCAAGAAGGTGAATGTGTTTGGGCAAGTTTGTGCATTTTAAAAGTAAGCTCTGGATAGTCCCACTCTACAATAGTGCCAAAGTAACTCTTAATACTATAATTGACAGAAAATTAAAAAAAAAATCAATCAAATGTGGGTAGTTCCATTATACTTTTAATAAGCTGTGTGGCGATAGGAATATCCCATGATTCATCAGTGGCTTTTTTTGGGGTTATATTTGCAAAGTGGGTTTAAGGAAGTATCTGCTCAACTTACGAGTGGACTTTTTAAAAGTTCATGGAAAATGTGCATTATAATAAAATTACACACGAATCTCAAAAATCTTTTACACCAAAAGAAAGTCATCTTTTGGGGCTAGCACTGTGGCGCAGCGGTTTAACTCCCTGGCCTGAAGCACCAGCATCCCATATGGGCACCAGCTGCTCCACTTCCGATCCAGCTCTCTGCTGTGGCCTGGGAAAGCAGTAGATGGCCCAAGTCCTTGGGCCCCTGCACCCACGTGGGAGACCTGTAAGAATCTCCTCGGATCGGCATAGCTCCGGCTGTTGTAGCCAATTGGTGAGTGAAACATCGGATGGAAGACCCGTTTCTCTTTCTGCCTCTCCTCTCTCTCTGTAATTCTGACTTTCAAATAAATAAAATCGATATTTAAAAAAAAATTTAAAAAAAGAAAAAATTATCTTTTAATTCCATGTTTTCCACAAACTTTTTGAGGCCTCCTCATCTTACTGGGGCCAGGTGCTTCCACACATCTCCCTCGAGGTTTATGAAGAAGTCTCCCATTCAACATAATCACCTCAGTAGCAAACCCATACGGGGGCTGGCACAGGGGCATGGCAGGGCGGGGGCTTCCATCTGAGGCATTGGCATCCCATATGGGCACCGGTTTGAGACCCGATTGCTCCACTTCTGATCCAGCTCCCTGCTGGTGGCCTGGGAAAGCAGTGGAAGATGGCTTAAGTGCTTTGGCCCCTGAACCCAGGTGGGGAGACCCAGAAGCAGCTCCTGGCTTTGGACTGGCCCAGCTCCAGTAGTTGTGGCATTTGGGGAGTGAACCAGAGGATGGAAGACCTCTCTCTGACTCTTGCTTTCAAAAAGAAAAAAAAAAGAAAAAAAGAATTATATGATATGTAGAGCATGTAGTATATTTATTAGGAACAAAAAGGAATCAACAAAAGGAAACAATCTGCACCAAACAATAAAGCATTTATCGGTCTTACCATTAAGATAATCACCTTTCAGACACAATAAGCAGTGTGGGAAAAGGTGCAACTGTACCTCGATTCCGACAGTGTGGTGAAGAATGCTGACCAAGAGGACGTGCTCCATCATCAGTCTGCTGGGCATAGCTGCGGCGGTGACACAGGCGCCCATGAGGGCGGCAGTCAGGGTGTCATTCATGTCCTTTCTGCTGTGGGCCATGTATAGCTCCTCCAGCTGTCCACTTATGGATGCCATGTTTGGTTCACTCAACCTGTGGTGAGGCGTAAATACACACTGCAACGATGCTGCCAGTCAGGGATTCTTTTCCAGTTACGAAGTTAGCACTATCAATATTTTACATTTATGTATATTCCTGGCCCATGCACAATTCTTCTCTTCCCCCAAAAGCCCAGCATACACAATTCATGACCACGTAACTACTCTGGATACTGTAGCAACATAATCGTCCCTACGGCTATAATACGGCCACAGGGAGGCATTCCCTGAGCTCTCTATGAATCCAGAGGACACTCCTCTGTCTACCACCTCCAGAGGCAGGGACCACACTTGGGTAAAGCTGTATTATTCAGAAAATGCCAAGTTTCCACTCCTTAGGCAGCACAAACATTCTTAGTTCCCAACACAGAGAAAAGGCTGCACCAACTGAATGGGTGAATGGATACAGGGGAAGACTACATATGTACCTGAAGAGTACTGTGTGCCTGTGCTAACATGGAATTGAACACTAGAAGGGTCTGTTTTGATAAAACACCAGGATACAGCATGCAAATAGAGTTTGCATTTTATTTTTAAAAAATTAAAAATGTTTCAGGGGGAAGTGGGGTAAGACCATAAAAAGGTAACACAAGAACCTTTTGGTGATAGAATACTTCTTTATCCTGACTGTGATGCTGGTTACATGAATTTTTTATGTAATAAAACTGCACAGAACTACAGACACACATAAAAAAGTGAGACCCAAATAAGCTCTGAGGACGGTCCTAATGTTCATTTTCTGTTGCTATTTTTTTTTATTTGACACGTAGAGTTAGGCAGTAAGAGAGAGAGACAGAGAGAACAGTCTTCCTTTTCCGTTGGTTCACCCTCCAAATGACTGCCACAGCTGGCGCTGCGCTGATCCAAAGCCAGGAGTCAGGTGCTTCTCCTGGTCTCCCATGCGGGTGCAGGGCCCAAGCACTTGGGCCATCCTCCACTGCCCTCCAGGGCCACAGCAGATAGCTGGCCTGGAAGAGGAGCAACCGGGACAGAACTGGTGCCCCAAGCAGGACTAGAACCCGGGGTGCCGGCACCACAGGCGGAGGATTAGCTTAGTGAGCCGCGGCGCCAGCCTTGTATCCTTTCTGTTCTCCCAGACCCATGCCTTGAAAAGGAGAGAAGCAGGAGGAAGCACCCGGCTCCTGGCTTCAGATCGGCACAGCGTGCCGGCCGTAGCGGCCATTTAGGGGGTGAACCAACTGAAGGAAGACCTTTCTCTGTCTCTCTCTCACTAACTCTGCCTGTCAAAAAAAAAAGAAAAGAAAACGAAAGGATCCGATTAAGGGCTACACTTTCTACCCCTCATTTGTATTTTAACTCCCGGGCTTACTGGTTTTTAGAACCAGACAGCTTCTTTAAGGAGAGCATGTAACATACCCCGGGCTTACCTGTTAATCAGACCCTTCACCTGTTTCTTCAGCCTGTCTAGCTCCTCCTTCTTCTGGACAGCCACTGTCTCCTCAGCTCGCCTCGCGTGAGGTGGGGCGTACTTCTCAGCACTTTCATAAAGACTCTGCTTGAGAACAGATAATTATATTACATAAAACTCATGCTGGACAAATCCCATTCTTCTTGCTAAATGTGCACTTAAATTCCCAAGAACTGGCAGCAGTTACTGCTACTGACCATCCCTGTTTAATAAACATCAGACACTTAGTAAGTGTCTAGAATAATCCTGGAGAAGCGCATCACCCACCAGGCTGGGAGGGGGGTGGGGGCGGGTGGTCTAAGCATCCCTATTTAAGTCAATGCTGTACATCTCATTACCTTCTTTGCCCCTTGGTGGTTTTTCAGCCCTGGCTGTACTCCCCTGGCAGCTGCCCAGCAGAGCCCTGGGCACCACACTTTTGTCCAGGCTGAATTACTGCAGGTATAGGCATTTAGACACCAAGATAAAACACACCACCAGCTCAAGGGAGAAAGTACCCTAAAAATATTTCAAACTTTTTTAAGACTAACATCTAGATCTATACAAGGGTACTTGAAAAAGTTTGTGGGAAAACTGAATTGAAAAATAAATTCTGGGAGGCAAGCCTTGTGGTGCAGAGGGCTGTCACTACTCGAGACACCCACACCCGCTATCGGGGTGCAGTCTGAGTCCAAGCTACTCTGGTTTCCATCCAGGTTCCTGCTGGTGCATCCTGGGAGGCAGCAGATCATAGGGTGCATAGGCTCACGCCACCCATGTGGGAGACACAGGTGGACTTCTGGGCTCCTGACTTTAGCCTGGCCCAGTCCTAGGTGTTTTGGGCACTTTTGGGGAGTGAACCAGCAGACTATCTGTCGTTTTGCCTTTCAAGTAGATGAAAATAAACATATTTTTAACATCTACATTAAAAAACATAAATCCACACACAGCTTCTCCACAATATGCATTTTCTATACAATTTTTAAAGACGCCTGTAGGATAAAGTCAAAATCAATCCAGTGCTATTTCCTCAGGTAACTCGGGAGAGGGAGCAAGAGGGGTAACAAAACATTATCACTGGCCCTGGGCACCCCAGTGCCAGGCCTTGAGACAAATATTTTTAAGACATGATCCTTACTGTTGGCAAGTTTAAACTTGGAAGAAGTCTATTTATACACACGGAAGCTGTTTTTCTTGATACACATTACTCCAGTTGTATGTCAATTATGCCTCCACAGGCTACGAAGCACACTTTGGAAAAGTCAGAAAATAATACACTAAGAGAGGAACTGACGGCACTTAGGGATATTCCACAAGGTGCCAGGGGCTAAGGCAGGAGAACAGTAATGACGTTTTCATGCTTAACACGCCAGAGACACGTGAGACGTTAACAGGCACGCGGTGGGGAAGCTGAGGAAAGGCTCTGCAGATAGAGCACGTCTGGAGCGGAAGGCTGCAACACTGGCAACTCCTCAGCCGTGTCAGGTGCACGGCACACAGGCAGGAGTCAGCCCCTGCAGCCTGGACCGCTGCCTCTTCAACTGTATGGGACTCTCTCCAGAGGAGTGCTGTACAGCAGCTCTGTGCTGTAGAAGGGCTCGCTCCAGCAGCAGCCGCTCAGCTGGGGCAAGGCTGGTGCTGCAGTTGTCCTACGAAGCAGGAGAGAAGTAGGGTGGAGGTCAAAGGTCAGATTTGGAGACCGGAGACAGCACAGAATGGAGAAGGTGTTCCCTTAGGACTTCCCATTCAAACGCCCTGAGCTCCTAGAATAAAATGATCTCTAGATGTTTTTTTCCCCCTTTTCATTACAGAAATTTAAAAACACAAAAATAGACAGAAGGGCCTGTGTGGTGAGACAGCAGGTAAAGCCGCCACCTGCAGTCCGGGTTCGAGTCCTGGCTGCTCCACTTCTGATCCAGCTTCCTGCTAATGCTCCTGGGGAAGTAGCAGAAGATGGTCCACGTCTGTGGGTCCCTGCACCCACGTGCGAGACTGAGAAGAAGCTCCAAGCTTCGGGATTGGCCCAGCTCCGGCCATCTGGGGAGTGAACGGAAGAGCTCTGTCTCACCCTCTCTGTCTGTAACTCTGCCTTGCATACAAAATTTTGTAGACAGAATAGAGTTCACGAACCTGCTTTTCTGACACTCAGCGACAGCACGTGTGTGTCACGTGTCTCCTGCTGTCAGCCCCGCATCCCAGAGGGCCTGGGCCTCACACTATACCTGATCCTCCGCGTCTCCATCCTCTGAAGAGCTGTCACTCGCGCCTTCGTCTTCGGCGAAGCGGACCCTCTTTCTCCCCCTTCTCGCCTCCCTGTCTGCTGCTCCCTCTTCCTGCTGCGCACCCTCGAGCTCGCTCGGCGATGCCTCAGCCGCCTCCTGAGCTTTCTCCGCCTCCTCTACGTCGTCCTCACTTCCCTCCTCGGAGTCGCTCTCCAGATCACTCTCGGGGGGCGTCTCCGCGGCGTCCTCCCCCTCCTCACTGCTTTCGTACAAGCCGCTGCTTTTCCCAGACTCCAGGGCTCCCAGAATGTAGTCCAGCCCATCGCGTGCGAAGCTAAGCGGCACGGAGCTGCCGTCGCCTTTCCTCTTCCGCTTGTTCAAGCCGAGGCAGCGCGCCAGCTTCCGGATCTCTCGGTCCTCCTCCTCGTTGGCCGCGAGAAGCGCCCGTCTGCGGGCAGCGGCGTTGGCGGCCGCTGAGGGCCCGGTGTGCGCAGAGGGAGACTTGGCCGGGGGTCGGGGGTTCTTGGCCTTGGGCGGCGGCGGCTGCCCGGGTGGCGAGGGGTCCTTAGGGGCGGGACGGCGGGCGCTGCGCTCCTCCTCTCGTGATCGGGGGACTCCGGGGCTCTGGGTGCTGCCCGCCGTCCTCTGCAGGCGGCGGGCTTTCCTCAAGTGCCGTTTCTCCTTTCTCAGCTCCTTGCGGCTTTTCTTGCCGTTGGGGCGGGAGCCCACGCCGGCTCCGCGGCCCTTGAAGCCGCCGGGAGCCTCGCCCTCGGAAGTCGTCTGTACGAACTCCTCCACCGCTAGTTTGAGCCGTTTGAGGGCCCCTTCCCCGCCGGCCCCAGGACCGCGGCGAGACCCTCGCCCGCCTTTCCGCTTCAGGCGGGCCACGCGGCCCCGAGAGCCGCCCCGGCCCGCACCTTCCACGCTCCTGGGCGCCGCCATCTTCCCGGACACGCCGACGCACGACTTCCGGCGGAGGCGGGACTTCCGGGAGAAAGCAGCGGCAGGGTGTGTGGGCGGCGCCCCCTGCTGTCTGGAAGGTGGCCGCGCTGAGGGCAGGGAGCCTCCGACGGGTAATGGCTGCTTTGAGAACGTTTGGTACAGTTTAACTTCGCGCTGCGTACACAAATACCGTCTCGCTCAAAAAACACGAGATCGTGAGAGAGGCGTCTTAACGACCCGCCCCAGGAGTAACCAAAGTTACGGGTGCCGCGCGACCCGTTTCTGGCAAGTTTGCATTTACCTGGGTGCATATTCCCATATAGTACAGACACTTCTGTGCGTATTTTGCAGTAGCAACGGAATCCTAAGCGTCCTCTTCGGTAGCTGAGTTGCTTAGTATTTCATGGAATGGGGCCCCATGATTTATTTGGACTTCCGTTGATAGGCGCACTGGAGTGAATTTAGTGTCCCCAAATTCAGGTCCACCTGGACCCTGTGTCTGGAAATAGACCACGCACATTTAGAAAAGTGGACAGCAAACCGAATTAGAGCAGACCCTAAGTTCAGTGACGGGTGATCTCATAAAATGGAGGAAATTCGGACCCAAGAACATCACGCGGTGGTGGAGGCAGAGATGGGAGTGATGCAGCTACAAGCCAAGGATTGCTGGCAACCACCAGAAGCTAGGAGGCAGACATGGGAGAGACCATAGCAAGATCCAGCCTTGACGAAACTGATTTCAGATCTCTGGACTCCAAGATGGAGAAGATACTGTTTGTTGTTTCAAACTACTACCCAGTTTGTGGTACACTGTTACTAAGTAATTTGCACTAGGACACTAATAAAATGGACATTTAGTTGGTTTCCAGTTTTGCTTGTAACAAGCTGTGCTTGGAAAAGCACCCTTGTCCTTTGTGTTGTGGTACAGAGGGTTATGCAAGCCCCTTGATCCGAAGCAGCCCGTCTGTCTGAGTATGTACTGATTTGAGTCTGCTCTGCTCTACCTCCTGCTAATGCAACAGGGAAGGTAGTGGAGGATGGCCCAAGGACTTGGTCCCTGCCACCTACTCGTGAGACCAGGATGGAGTTCTTGGCTCCTGGTTTTGGCCTGTCCCAGATCTGGCTATTGCACCATTTGGAGAGTGAACCAGCAGATGAAAGAGCTCGCTCTTTGTCTCTCCCTCTCTCTGTTGCTCTATTTTCCAAGTAAATAAATATTAACTGGAGTTATAATATGTGGAAAGCCTCTTTTTTTAAAGATTTATTTGTTATTTGAAAGTCAGAGTTACACACACAGAGAGAAAGAGATGCAGAGAGAGAGGTCTTCCATCCACTGGTTCACTCCCCAATTGGCCACAATGGCCAGAGCTGTGCCAATCTGAAGCCAGGATCCAGGAGCTTCTTCCAGGTCTTCCACGCGGGTGCAAGGGCCCAAGGACTTGGGCCATCTTCTACTGCTTTCCCAGGCTATAGCAGAGAGCTGGATCGGAAGTGGAGCAGCCGGGACTTGAACCGGCATCCCAGCACTGCAGGCTGGGGCTTTAACCTGCTGCGCCACAGCGCTGGCCCCAGCCTGGCTGTCCTTCTTAAACTGCAGCAACATCTCATCCCTTGACACCATTTTCCATGACACATTTCCCTTCATTTGACTGATGTGTTGGTTGCCCCCTTTCTAGCATTGCAGGGCAAGCTTCACTAATAGCTCAGGCTTCCTGCCTTGTGGTTAAAGCAGTGCCTGACACGTAATAGGCACTCAGCAGGTAGATGATGGGTGAGTGCATGAATGGTTATTTTTGTATTGGCATCTGTCATTGTATGGAGGTATCTATCATTTAGCTAAGCAGTCTCCTATTGAGTTATTATTTCCAAGCTACTCATATTAAAAATGATGCTACAATGAGTATCTTTGAATATATAGCATTTTGCACTTGCAAGAGTAGAATCTGAGGCATGATCCTGGAAGTGTGATTTCTGAATTTAACATTTTATATTTTATAAACCTGATAGATATTGCTGAAGTGCTATCCATAAATATTGCATCAATCTATGAAAATTGTGTTGGCCAATTTGATGAGAGAAAAAATACCTCACTGAATTCAAATTTGTATGTGTCTTATAAGCCACTTCCATTTCCTTTCTGAAAATTTTGGTTCATATCCTTTGCCCTATTTTTCCATCATTTATTACATTTTTTCCATGGTAGCTCTATTTATGTCAAGAAAATTAGCTCTTCTTCATGAAGTGTTGCAAATAGCTAGTTTCAGACTTAACTGTTTGTTTTTGCTGTAGAGATTAAAGTTTTTCCCATAGTCAAAATTATCAGTCTTTTCTTTTACTAACTGTTTATTTATTTATGTTCATCAACTTGAAAGGAAGAGTGACGGAGAGAGGGAGTGAGAGAGAGAGAAAGAGAGATCCTCCATCTGCTAGTTCACTACCCCAGTGTGCACAACAGCTGGGCCTGGGCTAAGCCCAAACCACAGACTCGTAACTCCATCCGGGTCTCCCCTGTGGATGGCAGGGGCTCCAGCACTTGAGCCATGATCTGTTGTCTCTCAGAAAGAATTAGCAGAAAGCTGATCTGAAGCAGAACAGCGAGACTCAAAATGGCACTGTGCTGGCATCCCAAGCAGTGGTTTAACTCATTGCACCTTGATACCTGCCCCATGACTTCTGGGCTTTGTGTTGTATTTTGAAAGGCCTTCCTCACCTAATGATTTTTTTTTTTTTAATGTTCCCTGTTTTCGGCCAGCACCGCGGCTCACTAGGCTAATCCTCCACCTGCGGTGCTGGCACTCCGGGTTCTAGTCCCGGTTGGGGTGCTGGTTCTGTCCCGGTTGCTCCTCTTCCAGGCCAGCTCTCTGCTGTGGCCAGGGAAGGTGGTGGAGGATGGCCCAAGTGCTTGGGTCCTGCACCCGAATGGGAGACCAGGAGAAGCTCCTGGCTTAGGATCGGCACAGATATGCCGGCCGTAGCGGCCTTTGGAGGGTGAACCAACGGAAGGAAGACCTTTCTCTGTCTCTCTCTCTCACTAACTCTGGCTGTAAAAAAAAAAAAAAAGAAAAAAAAAGAAAAGGAGCCAGCGCAATGGCACAGTGCCGGCATCCCATATGGGCGCTGGTTCTAGTCCAGGCTGCTCTGCTTCCTGTCCAGCTCTCTGCTATGACCTGGGAAAGCAGTAGAAGATGGCCTAAGCCCTTGGGCCCCTGCACCCATGCAGGAGACCCGGAAGAAGCTCCTGGCTCCTGGCTTCGGATTGGCGCAGCTCCAGCCATTGCGGCCATCTGGGGAGTGAACCATCGGATGGAAGACCTCTCTCTCTCTGCCTCTCTTCTCTCTATGTAACTCTGACTTTCAAATAAATAAATAAATCTTAAAAAAAAAGTGTTCCATGTTTTCTTCCTGTCATTTTATGATTTCATGAATTAAATATTTAATCTTTGACATATCTTTTGCTTTAATGGAAAGAATAGGGCAGAATCAACACATTTTTTTCTAGATAACTACCCAATACAACTTATTAAAAAATCCACCTTTTCTCCACCAATTTGAAACACTATCTTGATATAATATACCGAAGTTCCTTATTTTTAATTTTTTTTAATTTTTATTTGACAGGTAGAGTCATAGACAGTGAGAGAGAGACAGAGAAAGGTCTTCCTTCTGTTGGTTCACTCCCCCAATGGCCACCACGGCCAGGAGCCAGGTGTTTCTTCCTGGTCTCCCATGCAGGTGCAGGGCCCAAGCACTTGGGCCATCCTCCACTGCCCTCCCCGGGCTGCAGCAGAGAGCTGGACTGGAAGAGGAGCAACGAGAACAGAATCCAGTGCCCCAACCGGGACTAAAACCCGGGGTGCCGGTGCAGTAGTCAGAATATTAGTCAAGTGAGCCACAGCGCAGGCCTTTTATGTTTTTTATTTTTAATATTTATTTTATTTATTTGAAAGACAGAGTTACAGAGAGAGGTAGAGACAGAGAGAGAAGTTTTCCATCCGCTGTGCTGATCCGAAGCCAGGAGCCAGAAGCTTCTTCTGGGTCTCCCACGTGGGTGCAGGGGCCCAAGGACCAATCTTCTACTGCTTTCCCAGGCCACAGCGAAGAGCTGGATAGGAAGAGGAGCAGCTGGGACTAGAACCAGCGCCCATATGGGATGCTGGCACTTCAGGCCAGGGCGTTAACCCACTGCGCCACAGCACCAGCCCCTCCTTATGTTTTTGAGAGTAATTTCTAGACTTCCTATTCTTTTTCCTTATCTACCCAGGTATTCATGCTGTAGTACTATACTGTTTTCATTATTATGGTTCTATGTCATGGTCTAAGGTCAGGTCAACTTTATTCCTTGTTACTCTTCAATTTTCGTATTTTTTCTTTCTATTTTTGCTCTTTCATAAAAGTAAACTTTAGAATTAACATCTATTACTTTCCATTCATTCAGATCTTCTTTTGCATTTTCTTCATATAGACTATAGACATTTCTTGTTGAATTTCTTGTTAAATATTTTGTCACTCTGTTTTTAAAATTATGTATTTGAGAGAGACAGAGAAACAGAGAGAGGGTCTATTCTCTGGTTCATTCCCCAAATGCCTGTAACAGCTGGGCCTGGGCTGGACCAGGAGCCAGAACTCAATCCTAGGCTCTCATGTGGGTGGCAGGAGTCCAGTTACTTAAGTCTTCACCGCTGTCTCCCAGGGTCTGCATTAGCAGGAAGCTGGACTCACAAGCTGGATCCTGAACTGAAATCCAGCCACTTTGATATGGAACATAGGCGTCTTAATCAGTGTAGTACCCACAGGGCCAAATGCCCAGCCCTTATCATTTTGTTTTTATCATGGACTCCTTAGATCTTTTTGAAAAGATTTGTTTATTTATTTGGAAAGGCAGAGTCCCAGAGAAAGAGGGAGAGATGGAGAAAGTGAGATCTTCCATCCGTTGGTTCACTCCCCAAGTGTCCACAACAGCCAGGGCTGGGCCAGGCTGAAGCCAAGGGCCTGGAACTCCGTCCAGGTCTCCCACGTG